GGTCCAAAGGCAGCCCCGAACCATGTTCCCGACCTGGTGAATCATCCCCTGCGCTCAGCGAGGCGAAAAAATGAGAGGACTGGGAAGACCCAAGAGAGGTTATCGCTTGAGGTACTTCCTAGGAGGGAGGGTGGAAGGGGAAGAATTGAGGAGTTCTCTGGGAAAAGGGAGTACTACGTATGTGCAAAGGATGCAATTTGAGATAAATGATAAAAACTTCCCATAACTAATCCAAAGCTGGTCAAAACTTAATTCTCAGTAAAATGGAATCTCATACATTTTTCAAAATGAACCTAGGGTTTTAATTAATTTCTTTATCTCACATTGCTGGGATGCAGGCAAAGAGTGTTTATGCACATACGCCCTTTTTCCATATCCACACTGCTGAAACTTTTTCCAAAGAGTCTTTCATCACTTCTTTCCCGCTAAGAATAATATTCAATCAATAAATGCAACGATAGATTTTATATAAACTCTTTCTTAAAGAATAGCAAGAAAAGTGTGAATATTCAGGACACGTTTCATTTGCCGATTACTCAGCAGTGATCAGAGATTAATGAATTCATTATCTGAATCTGCAGCTATTTCATGGATATCTTTAACTTCTAATATCCTTCCAGAGGCTTCAATGACTGGGCCTCTTTCTTTCCCTATCCTCATGTCTGTTTTCTCCCTCATTTTCATTTTCAGTTGAAAAGGACGAAATAATTCCACCAAAATCATTCATCATGCAAGTGCTAATGGAATATTCATGGAGGCAGCCATATTGAATTTGTCAGGCAGTTGATCTGCTATATAGTGAGAGCATAGGAAAATCTGATTCTCCTTTGTTGAATACTCATCTTAACTACTTGCTGACCACCCTATCTGATGACAAGTCATCTAAAGCTGCACATGGACACAGATATGGAAAAAGGGCGTATGGGCACATACGCCCCTTTTCCAGAGAACTCCTCAATTGCTCTTGTCGCGTTTACCCCGCCTTGAATCATCTCCGCCAATTTTAATTTTAATTTTATGCGATTAGTGACGAGGCCAGAATGTGGAAATACTTGTGTGGATCAATGATGAAATGGAGCATTTATTTGATTACAGAGGGGCCATTCTCATTTCCACTCCTGCTTTTGCAAAGGTTGAAATGCAGAATCATGACAAATGTAAACGCTTGTTTATTAAGTCACGCGATCTGTATTTTCACTCTCTCATGTTTGACTGGCAGATGAGTAACTGACACACAGTCAAATTTATATATTGAGAAGGGCCGCTCATGAGGCCAGAAGGAGCAATTGTCTGTTCTTGATGACCAAAATAAAAGATTATGGGTTATCTCTTCTTCCTCCTCGTTGTCTTTGAATGGACCGCTCCACCGTCCTATGTCTCCAACTTCCTGGCCCCGAACTAAGCCAGCTCATATACTCCTCTTCAGGTAGCCTCTTCATCGTGTCTTTCAGCCCTTCTCCCCCCCCCCCCCCTCCCTTGTGTACCCCTCGAATCAGTTCGATATAACCCCTGCCGAGGGCATTTCCCCACCCGGCTGAGCGCCAGTAAAGTAAATTCATTATGGCCATGGTTGGGGGCTGTCTATGGACCTTGCCAAGCTATTATATAGATAGGCTATGCTGCAATCAATGGAAGTGCTCTTATGGAGGGGGGGGGGGATGGGGTGCGAATTCAATCCGAGAAGTATGCAGTGATTTTCTATGTATTTTCACCCTTACCTTCTTCTGAACCACCATGTCACACAACTTGAGCAATATCAGCCTTCTCAAGGTAACTTGCCCTGGATAAATCAGTGAGAGCCTGTATTTAAGTACTGTAGTTCCTGCTTTCACCCCAGGAAGGTGGGAAAGGGAGGCCGAAGTCGATCGAAAAATCACCTTACATTATCAGGCCTTAAAAACCGCTTCAGCCGTAAAGGCACTAGCGCCATACTACCGGCGCCATGCTAGGCACTACCGAAGGAACTTAAAAACGTTAAGTGTTTGCATAAAGTGGGGAAGGGGGGGGGGGGGGGTAGTCCCAAAAATCTACTTGCCCCGGGCCTCGCTGCTTCTAAATCCGGCCCTGGCGCCATCTCTCCATTACTTAAAAAAAAACTCTAGTGATTTGCAAAGGAAATTCGCACCACCTTTTACATTGTACAATTTAATTTCCAGGGTGCATCCCACAGGGTGAGGGTATATCTCCCAGATTGGAATGACATTAGAACAGTGGCGGCTCGTGATATTTAGCGCTAGTGGTTCGTCTATGGAGAGGGGGTAGGCAGCGTCCTCCCCTGCCTACCCCCTCTCCATAGACGAATCACTAGCGCTAAATATCACGAGCCGCCACTGCATTAGACCCAGAGAGCCCATGCTAAAGATGGTAAAAATTCTAATGTATGTCATTGTACAGTAATCCCTAGCCTACCGCGGTTTCGAGCATCCAAAATGTATACCGTTTTATCAACCGCGGTATGAGGTTGAGTATCCGAGGTTTCAGGCGCATACTCATTATTTTTTGCTGCAATAGTCTTTCTTAACCCTCATCCGGGCAAGCTTTTTTACAACCTATTCCGGGCAAGGTGAGTCTGTCAGACTCATGTAAAATAAGGCCGTTTGCTGCGGTTACGGTATGTATTCTTATGAATAACAGTACTGTAACTAAAATAATACAGACAATTTATTCAATGGTCCTGATAGTTTAAAAAAATAATGACAGTAATAGACCGAAATATGTCGTAATGAGTCCAGCGGACTCACCTTGCCCGGATTAGGGTTAAATCTTAATAACCTTGGTGTATTTTAACAGAAGAACATCTACACTTACTATTTATGAATTATTTTTCAATGTGCTACCAAAGGGTCTGCTGAAGGGATATTAAAATTGAGACGAATGCTGTGTGGAATTTTTAGAGGGTCATTAGGACTCTATTCTCTCAGTCTCTGAAAGATCTGCAGTTCGGTCGGCTCCATAAAGGTTAGGAAATTCCTCGCAGCATTCGTTTCAATTTTAATACCCCTTCAGCAGACCCTTTGGTAGCACATTGAAAAAAATTCATAGAAGCTGTCCTTCATCAACAAATAAGATGAAATTTTGCCAGTCGCCATCAAAGACATCTGTCTTCCCATGATAAGAGTAAGAATGGTGTATTGCAACTGGAAGTGCAGAACTTTTTAACCACCCCTCGTATTTTTCCGAGCATGTCGCAATGCGCTGAATAGACTTAAAATTTGCATCGACCAAGACGGCGGACATATTGAACACCTGAAGTGAAGTTTTTTGCCGTCTTTTTTTTTCTTGTAAATGTACTTCCAAAAAATAAAAATCGCTCCTAGATCCATTGAACCGTTTTATTTCTATTCGAATTTAAACGTGTTCAGTCACTTAGTGCCCACACTGTATTCTTGAAAGTGGGTTCCCCAAACCCCCTATTTCCCATAAGCCATGGGTTTTTCCAACCGCGGTGATTTTCAGGTACGTAACCCCCGCGGTTGGCGAGGGATTACTGTATAACCTGTCTTGGCCTATGCCCTTTTGAGAGGCAGATCGACCAGGTTTAAGCGGAGCTAGGTAAATCCGTCCTATATAGTGTTCGCTTTAGTCTGACTTTTTTTCATTTTACTTCTCAGGAGTCAGGAGTCAGGAGAGTTAGTGATATCAAGAGGCGATTTCGCCCATTTCGATATCACGTGTCGAGGTCGAGCGTTCCTTAATTTTAGGGTAGGCCTAACCCTCTTAAAGCTGTATATTTTTGTATTTTTTTTTTTTTTTTTT